CACGTGAAAAAGATTCTCCGCGTGTTTTTTCGCATCCGCCAGCGTGCCATCCAATTGCGCCTTAATCACAACGTCCGAGTTGTTCGTGCCAGGGCCTACTTTGCGAATAAGTTTGTCGTGAAAATTGTAATTACCGGACGAACTGACTTGCGGTAACGTTTCCAAGAGCCTTGGAGGAATTTTTTTTTTCGTGCGCGGCCACAAGCGCGCTGCATTCGTTCTCGCGAAAGCCTTTGTCTTTTTCCTGTTGTTCAACGCACGTGGAGAGCTTCCTCTCGAGAGCATCGAGTTTACTTTTTTTTTTCCTTCACGGTTTTCGCAGTTTACTTTCGTGCGCGGCCACGAGCGCTTTGCATTCGTTCTTCGCGAACGCCTTTACTTTGTTTTCCTGTTCTCCGAAACGTGTCGAAAGCTTCCTCTCGAGAACATAGAGATCGCTTTCTTTGATCATAGTTTCCGCAGACTCATCATCTCTTCATGCGCTTCATAACGCCATCGATTTGTTCATCGACGTATCGCTTCGTGACGGCGTGACGCGCCCGAACCGCATGTCCGAAGACATCCATCGCATTGATGCGACTGCGAGTTTTGTTTTAGGCTTGCGATTATTTATTAGTTTTATACATGCTTTCCATCACCCGGGGAAGCAGCAAAGCGCGCGCGCGTGCAGTCCACGGCCAGCGACCGGATGTTGTGGTTGATATTGCGCGCAAGAGCGAGAGCGCAGATGCTACCACCCTTCGCCACCAGAGCGCGCGTGCACACACACGCTTCCGCACTTCGCCGACAGAGCCCGTGCGCTGTCCTAAAAGGAGCAAGTGAATCTCTTGTATCTCACGCGCGCTAAACTCTCGCGCCCAAGGCCTGCGACCGGATGTTGCGATTGATAGCGCGCTGCGCACTCCAACAATCAGGCCGGATGTTGCGATTGATATCGCTCGCGCTGTTTTTTGCCCTTCGAAAGAAACGCACTTCTTAGTTTATATTTGCAGAAGAAGGACGTTAGCCATGTCGTGCGATAACATGTCTTATAAGACGCTTCGCAGACATAAACGAGTCGCGATTTTTTCCAAGAGATCTCTATGGACGCAGCATAATACACTATACTGCGGCTTTTAATGATGTCGAAGGTTTGATATTTTGCCTGCCCCGCGGCGAAAACGTCGACTGTCAGGACAATTACGGAAGAACGGCTCTACACTATGCCTATCGCTCACGGGCAAGTGTAGCGTTCAATTTCCTAGGATTCATCGGAGCCAATCATCAAGCAGTGGACGTGCTTGGGAACACTCCTGAAGACCTGTTTTTCTGGCAACACTTTACTGTTACTCTGGCGGGCAAGCCAGAGTGCGATTTGTGTATCGTAGCGCCGCGGCACTGCGCGCATTTACTCGCGGATGGCGAGACGACGACGACTGTCGCCGGCAGATGCGACAATAGAAGACGTGGTAATCAGGGCCGGTTCACTCAATGTTAAAAGGCGGGGGACTAAGTTTGTTTCCTCACTCACCCCGGACCTGGTGCAGATAGCGCAGCTGTGCGTTTTGGCCGCGCATTTTCAAAGTAAGGTTGTGCGAATAATGTGGCGGCGTGGGTAAACCGGAGATTATCTTTTTTTTCCACAAAAAAAAAAGAAGTATTATTTTTTTTTCCTTTGCTTTTTCTTTAATTGATTTTGCAGATTAACTTAATTTAAAATAATATTTTTTAAATATTTTATCTAGCATGTTTATACTTAAAACCAAAATTGTAAAGGTGATTTACTTATCCTTAATACTTTTAAAAGTCCAGAGAAAAGTGAAAACATAAAGTTTTAAAATTGATCATTCCTTATTGCTTTTGTTTAGTTGTTTTTTTCACATAGATTACTATACATTTGCACGGGTCTGGTCAAATACTTGCCCTAACCCAACAAAATCTTTTTAAATGTCGAGTACTTATAGTTTCAATCACTTCTCATGTGTTTCACGTTATGAATAAGCTTTAGCAACACCTGGTCAGAACAGGTCAGAAAAAAGACATTTTATCCAAAAATCCTCTTACTGTTAAAAAACAACTATTTCACAAAAAAACTAACCAAACAATATAACAGTTTTTGAAATTATACTTACAATATGAATAGTTGTTCCATGTTGCCTTCCCACTTAAAATGCGTATTTTACCGAATTCACACAAGGGAACAAGGTTAACAATTATTAAAATTAATAGGATTAAATTCCGTTTTTGATTAGTTTTTACACAATTAATATTTTTTTAGTGAGTTATCAATAAAATTCCGATTTTTAATTAGATGCTTATCTCTTCTAAGATGTTCATACTTTTGAGCCCAATTAGCAAACATTTTACTCCAAAATCTAGAAATACAAAATGCCTGAAGATTATCGTGTTTTCCTGAAACCAAGCTCGGCTGTGTGTATTGTTCCTAAATTTGCTATATCTACAGACCAATGAAATCTAGATAAAAACTAATTATATCATTCCAAGTCCATTAGTAAAATTAACACTACAAAGTGCGTTATTGTTCATTTCAAAGCATGCTCATTTTAATGTATATACATTGTATTTTTCTCGAAATCCTTCCATTATGTTGAAAAAGTTTAAAAGAATTATGATATTCGTGTTATTTAACTATGTAATTGATTTAAGTCTTCATCTCTATAACTTAATATTTGCTAATATTTGAAAAAATAACTTAAATCAATGATTTTTAAAAAAATTATCATTGTTATAATCCATGATTGAAATCTACCAGCCTTAATTTTTGGTGACTCTATAGCCGAAAATAGAATTTGTGAATTTTGATACAATATCAATCATTGTTTTATTTTTGGGTAAGTCTTTCAAACCAAGGAAAATGCAAGACAATTTATAAATTATCTAGTTTTATGTTTGGCAAGTTGATTCGTCTTTGCTAGTAGTAATAACATACCGGTAAAATATGCTTAGTGTTCGGGATTAAGATGGGGAATTTGCATTGTTTTACAAAAAAATTCTTATTTTGAAATGAAAATTTGTGGAAGATATAAACTAATTTTTAATTGGCCAGTTTTCTCCCTCAGCTCTTTAGGCAATCTTAACTTTAAAACAAATAACTGGCAAGATTTCTTCTGTTTAGGCAGCAAACAAGGATTTTTTTTAATTTCTATACTACCTCTGATTGGTTACGACACATCATGACAATATTCTCCCACAAAGTCCACACACAAAAACTATCCTCACTTGAAACCTACACATGGCGGCAGAATACTGAATTGTTACGAATGACAGAATTTTGACGTATAAGTAGATAAAATTGGATTAGATTTTACGATAAGTTATCGAATAATATTATTACAGGATTTATTGTTTCAGATGTTTCATGTTATCAAATTCAAATTTGGCCTACGATTTAATTAAAAAATCATCTATTAATATTAATTAAACCTTTCTTAGACTGAAGTAGTGAAATATCCAAAAAAAGAAGTATTATACCTATCTTAAATATTTTTAAAATAAACTTTAGATATTTAGGCTATATGTATTTATTACCACACAATTTTTTTATTACCACATGTGCGAAAACGTAAAGTTTTTTAATTGTCCACATTCAAAATTGTTCCTGATTATTGGATCTCAATATATTTCCGTGCTTGTTGAGGAAAGTTTTTCTAACAATGCAATTATTATATCGAAATATATATTGTGTGAAATAATATATTTGTCTCTATAATATCAAGACTAGCAGCACTTGCAGCATCAAATGGAAAAAGATTTTCACATGGCACACTTTTTGTGTATAAGATTTCTTGAAAATGTTCTTTGCAGAAGACAACAGGGCTGGCTTGTAGGGAAACACTGTTGATTTACAAGTTCCATTTGCTAATGTTACGTGAGTCGAATTCGGTTGTATCTTGCCATTCACATACTGCAACTCGAAGGATCACCTCCAGACATGGAAACGTAACTCGTTAACACTAAGCAAATAAAGCTTAATCTACATTTTCATCATACATTAATGAGAGATGATAACCTATTCTAGAAATGCAAACCAAAATGAATTATGATATTTGAAAATTAGACATTTTGAATTACCAGGATATGCAAACAATAATATATGGATATTACAATGGAACACTATTACAAAACGTGTCCAAACCATTCGAAATAATTATAACTACAATACTTTTAAACATAATACGAACAGAAAAATGACATGTCACAGTTAGGTTTATACTACAGATTTACGGATTTTTAAGACATTTTGCATGGTGTAAATTTGTTCACAAATTAAATAATCGAAAAATTACAATTATGAAACAAGATTCCCAAAAATGAATTATAAATACCTCCACTGCTGGTAGGGTGGAAAATCCTAGCAAGGTACTTAGGTAGCACCAGTTTTCTTAATATTCATCTGCCAAAATACTGAAAACAAAGGTTTAGACCATGACAAATAATAATCGCGACATTAATTCACTTACTTACAATGCACGACATTCCTACATACTAACAAAAACGCCTTGAAAAATCTCGATAAAAATGAGCACCCTTACCTGGCTTGCAGCCTGCACGTCAACGAAAAACAAACACCGCCTACATTGCCAGCTTTTTGAATTGCCATGACGGTCACACGTTTAGTGTCGGCTCACGTCGGAACTGTTGTAGATGGCGCAAAAATCATTACCCCGTTTTGACCGCCAAGTTTCCCTACCCTGGCCATATCCTGGCAATATCCTTATAATGTTCAACCCTAAAGTAGAACCCTATAATTGTATCCGTGGTGTTAATCCTTCTAATTCCTTTGACTTTGTCTTATTCCAGATTGACTAATGTTAGTGAAGGTGTGAGTAACCTTTCAGGTGATACGCTCAGTGTTTGAATTATGCCTGACAAAGAGGCACTTGCTGAGATTTTTATCATTTTTGTAGTTACAATTAAATAGTTTTCTTATGTCAGTTGCTGGTGAAATCAAATTCCGTAGTAGTTGAAAAATTAGCTAATTTTTTAAAATTTTGTTTCAGTTTCCTTCTGTATACAGTAAAAACAGGCGACGTGCTCTTGAACATACACTAGAAAGGTAAGGGCAAACCCAAGATAATATCTTTTGCAAGTTTTGTTCTTTGGTGAGGATTGTTTTATAAAACAAGATTCCTCTTGTTTCAGATTTCATAATGACAGCTATGGAACAGCACCATTCTTTGTTTTTGGAGATTTCAATTTTCGAACTGACACACAAGGAGTTATCAATGTAATTAATCATAATATGAATATATGTTACTAGAGATTACATATTTTTAAAGATATGAAACGATGGCTGATATTCTAGTTGTTAATTAAGTATTAATATATTAAATACTTCATATTGTATTAATTATAGTTTTATTAATAAATTCCTGATATTTGAATCAGGAGAAGTCTCTTCACATGGTGGTGTGGGGGGGGGGGTGCATGTGTGTGGGTGTGTCTACTCTAAGGTAAGCAAGAATTGACATCTATAGTCATGTTGCTTTTAATTATATTGTATTTGCACGGTGGTCGGGATAATCAATAAATAAATAAATGATGAGAAAACAGAGTTAATAAATCTTGGTAATTTTAAAGAAATTTTGATGTTCCTGGTGCCTAGGACTCCTGGAGAAATTCAAACTCAGTGTTCTTAAATAAAGAATGTATTCATTGTTGAATCAAAAAGATTCAAAATTAAATTAATCACCTGCATTTCAGGCATCATCAATGATTTTGTACAATCAGAGTTGGCAATTTTTAAATTCAGATAAATGATATCACAGAGTCAATTAAACAAGTGACTCAGTGTTCAGTAATAGTGAAGTTTGTTAATATTGATGGAGCTGTAGGGGAAGCATTTTTTATGTTCCTAAGTGATGATAGATCATCATATACTTGTGTATTTTATTAGACAAATTGGGGGTACCATTGGCGTATGAGCAAAATTAGTAGGTGTTACGATGGTGCAAGTGTGATGTCTGGCCTTTTAAACAGGCTCTAGAAAAAAGTAATGAGAAAGCCCCCCACCTCTTGCAATATTTGGTACTCTGCATAAATGTGGTATTATGAGGTAAAGCAACAGTCCTATATTTTTTTCATCCATTATTGGAATTCCTATCTTTTTTCATCCATCTGTGAAGAGAACCTACACAATTACTTCTGCAGCAGCTACTTCCAAACATTACTAGTGTGACACCTGTTTACTGGAGCTCCAACTCTAAATTATTAAGTGTGTGGTTGTGGGTGACTGGGAAAAGCTGAACAGCTCCCAACCACAGTTCTCTCTGAAAAGTCTGATGGTCAATCTGTTAAGCTTGCCAGAGAATTTCCTCATGGCATACTTGGTTTTGATTAAACATTTCTGGTAGAAGTATTTCAATACACATTTTGTTTGACAGATCTCCTCTTTGATGTTAAAAAAAGATGATTAGATCTAAACTACTTTATATAAAAAATAAGAACTACTTGTGATATGGTAAGGACCTGAAGGAGAGAACAGTTTTGTTCTATAATCCTGGAAAGGAGCAGCAAAATAAACTAATTGCTCCTGACATGAGAGTTCAGAGTGTAAAAATTCAATTTGTTTGTTCAGGTGATCGCACAAAATTTGAAGAATACATACATAATTTTCTTGTAGTGCTCTTAAAGATCTTCAAAATATCTTGATTGACTTCTTCAAAATACATCGCTTAAGAAACCTACTTTCCATTTTATGCGTTATGAAAAATATTCACAGATTTCTGATAAATTGCAGATGCAATTTGTTCTCCCACATTGTGTGCATCTGTACGACAGCATCGCCTGAAAGAAACTTTTCTTGTCTTTCCTGAAACATTTCTTGTCTTCACAAAAGTGCTCAGTAATACAATTTCAAATGAGAGACAGTTTTGCTATTTAAGGTCACATCAACATCTAGGTCATTTGCGAACACTATTGTATTTAACGTTATGGTTACTGTGAAGATGACATGATGGGGTGAAAGGACAAACACAAATACGTCTATGCCCGAGGCAAGACTCGATCCTTCGGTCCGAGGTCACTACAGCACTAATGCCTTAACAAACTAGGCCATCCGATACAGCTTTATATTTTTGTTAATTTACATAATTTTGCAATTTAATACATGGCCTTTTATGGAAATTTACATATTTAACAATACAATGAACTTTCATTTTCATATTTACAAACTTGGAAATAATATTGTCTGATTCATCTACTGTAAAATGTATCGTGTAATTTAACAAAACCCTTTACCTTGACTTTAAATCATAAATAGGAAGTGCATGTAATTATTACTGTGAGATTGTAATAAATGTATGCTTTTAAAAAAAATCTATTTGGTCATGTGTGAACATTCTGCACTTTTTAAATCATTGTAAAAATGGAACTGACTTCATACAGGAATCCAATTTCAAATGTTTCTTAAATCCTACACCATGGGGGGGTTACCCTCCAAAAATGTAAGGAAGCATTTTAAAAGGTTTTATTTTGTAGATTATAACATAAAAACATACCTTTGTGTAGGGACATGAAAACTGATTTAAGGGACAAGGATGTGTCATTTGTATGTTACAGACCATGATATTGTGTGTTGCATTGTAATGTGTACAGTTTTACAGATTCTTATGTACTTTACATACATACATACATACTTTTGTTTTTATGTTTCACTTTTCAAAATTGTGATCTTGATGAATAATGGCAATCCTAACATTATATCCAAATTTTTCTTATTTTGTACTGTGTAACACATTTACACAGTTTGCAAAACTTAATTATTCTACAAATCTTGAAATTTTCCTAAAAGTTCAAAAAAAAAAAATCCCCCCAAAAATTAGAATATTTTTTCGTGCGCAAATTTAGAATTGTGTGTTTATAACACAAGGTGTTGTGCGTCACTGTCTGAGTTGGTGAACCTTTATCAGCACTGAATGTATATTGTGGAAAGTGCTTGTGAGCACTGAGGTGGACAGATGTGTAGAAAGAGTCAGTTATGTCATGTTTCTTAATGTTTAATCCCAATTTCCAAGAAATATGGGTTGTCACAGACTGTTGTACCACAAAGACAATGCTACAGTGATTGCCGGTCATTGATGTTTGTACAATGGCCATCATTGCTCAAAAAATTAAAAATTTAATCCAGATCAGGTGAAGTGGAGCAATATTTAAAATTGGTTTCATAAATGCTGTAGTAAGTAATTTTATATTATGTAAACTTATGTTACAATGTTCTATAAATGAGGGTATATTTTGATATACATTATTTCCTGTTATTCATGTGTATTACCTATTCTTCTAGTTTTTATTACATATTTATGTAGAAGTTTTATCATTTCATTCAGTGAATTTTTCTAGACCCTAAGTATTACAAATTGCATGTTTTTTTGTTGTTTTTTTTCACTCTTTTCCTTATATCACGATTTGCAAAATTCTAAATTTTTCAATTTAAATGTGTTTGATGTGACCTTGGAGGATGATATCCCATCTGGCAATAGGAGCACTTTCAGGGTTTAGTGTAAGTGGTGACTTTCAAATTAAAAAGTTCCTTCTTTTCTTAGTATATTACATATAGAGGGAATTTTATCTATACATTTATAATTTGTAAACTGTAAACATTTATATTTTTCAGAAACTGGCTGATGGTTTGAATCCTGTGCGGGTGCAAAGTAATAAAAGCAATGATCATACAAAACTGCAATACAAAGATGATGAAAGTCAGGTAAGTTACATCTGTCATACTCTATTATGTAACATTTACCTGTTTAACTGAATGGTCAGTTGTTTACCCGAAAAGTTATGTCAAATATTTGAGTTGTCACTTATTATTGTTAGTAACTAGTGTGAATGTGCTTTATATCTAAGAATATTAAATATTTAAATTGAAACAAAAACTACTGCAGTTGACAGCAGTACTTTACAAAAAGGGATTAAAAAAAACAAGGGACATGGTATAAAATTAATGCATGTTATACCGTAAAGGGGTAGTCAACAAAACAATGATAAAAAATTCAAAACTTTTATCATTGCATACTTTTAGTACCATCTAAATTAGGCACAGAATGCAAAAAATCGCAAACCATTTCTGTAACAAATGGAAATGCCTAGAAATCTAAAGTCTTTGGTGAGGTGGTGACGCATATAGTTGCAATTGCCAAAGCTCTCTCTAAAGTTTTCGTCTGTCAGACATCCACTTAATTGTTATATTCTTTTATAATAACAATCAATTTCCATTACAATTCAATATAATAATTAATAATAATATAAAACAAATAACAATATAAGCCGGTCTGGATTGCCGAGATCGCTAAGGCAGTAGTGTTATAGCGATCTTGGACTGAAAGATCGCGGTTTCAAGTCCCGCCTTGGTCATGGTTGTATTGTGTCGTTCTTTCACCTCCTAGTATAATATCATCATCATCATCGTGTCATCCTCATAGTTACCGTACCGGTACATGCAATAGTGGTCGCTAATGACCTAAATGTTGATGCGACCTTAAATAACAAACAAAAGAAAACAACAAACACCACCAACATCAACAATATAAAGCATAATAAAAAACCTAGCTTAAAAGGAAGGACTAGAAAAGATACTGCAGAAAAATACCACCATATAAGCACTAAATGAAAAATCAAAAACTTAAAGAATATTGTTTTATGTTGTTCAGTGTTAATTCTCCATGACTTATAAAATAAGAGATTTACAATTTCTGGAACGATATAATCAATATTCACCTCAACACAGAGTTAAACACATTTTTTAAAGTGTAAATGAAATGTTTTATATTTACCAAGATCTGTAATTGTACGTATTACATTTATATTGTAGTTTCCTGGATCAGGTAATCCTGCCATTCACTTTAACTTTAACAGATAGTTGTTTTAAGAGACATTTATTGGATGATTGCTTTATATAGTGTTCATATACACTCACAAGAAAAGGCATGTGAAACAACCAGTGCTCTTCAAACTGAGAAACCTTGATATCTTTGGTTTATTAATTGGAACTTTATTTTCCAGATGGAATGATTACTGCTTTTATTAGATCTATTGATATTTCCATCTCAAAACAAAACGAGGCCAACTATTGAAATTGAAGTAATGAATAAATGATGGCAGATAAGCATGCAATATATTAATTTTAATTTATTAATAAAATTTGGTGTTAGTATTATAAAACCAATTAATAAGAGTAAGTGATAACATATTTAGGCTTTCAATTAAAGAAAAAATAACGAGATTTGAGTAGAAGCTCACTCTTCTTTCTAAACCAAAACTCATAGTGCTTTCGATATAAAAAAAATAAAATAAAAAGGAAGATATATGTTTGTATAAGTATAAAACAGTCAGAAAATATGTTATAATTGAGAAATAATAATCAAAAAACAATAAAAAGAAATTGCACAATGACAAAGGTCGAAATATTCAACATGAACACAAAATTGAAACACTGTATCTGAACACCGGAATTCTCAGTAATGTAAAAAAAACTGTCATTACAGGTACAATGTGATGTACTATTTTCAATGATTGAAGTAAAATGTGAAAAATATTTACAGAAATGTTCAAACAGCAACAATTTGTTATTTTCACTTCTACCAACAAATAATTGTTTCAAACTATCGGTACATACAGTACATCTAAAAAATAAAATTGTTTGTTTTAGTTCCCTGTATAAATGGCAACCTTTAGCAACTTAACACAAGGGCTTCAGACAAATTGACATTGATTTCCAACTTTTTTCAATCATGGAGAGGAATTTGTTGACCACCCCCTTAAGAACTATTACTTCAAATTTTGAACTATTTTATTTATTTGTTTATGCAGTGTGGTTTTCTGATGTTATTTATTTAATGTGAATCACTTCACTTTTCTTGAATTTGTTTCATATACTGTAGGTTGTGTTGTCCCTTGGAAAAAAAGAATTCAGTCATGCTGATCATCAGAGTATATTTCTTGATGAAAATGGAATGTGGGTAAGTTTTCTATTGACTAAAGATCTGGAATCTGATGAGATGACCATCAAATTTATGTACTTACCTTTTTAAAAAATGAAAGTGTGGAAAAATAAATGAGTTTTAAGGAAATAATGAAATACAGTAAGCAAAAGTTAGTTGTTGTCTTTTAATAACTTCATTTAATCTGTTCTTCATCTTTGCCTTCCTCCTTGCTTTCTTTACCTATTCAACTTCTTCAGTCTATTGTTTGTAAATATTTTCTAAAGAATTTTTTTTGCAGAATTTGTTTTGTTCTTTATTTGAATACTTTTTTTCACTTGATCATATCCTTGACTTGCTTGTCTTACATATGTTTGAATAATTGTTATTTCATATAATTGCTGTGGAGTTAATCAACTTTTTACAGTATTCATTATGTAAAGTAAAGAATAAAATGTGTTCTTTCCTCTTTGGGCAGGTCAGTAAAAGACGTTTCAGAATAAATAGTATATACTTCTAGAACAAGTAAAGATGTCAAAGATGATCATTTGTTTCTAATGAATGTATGATAAAATGTTATCCTTATAACTAGGACGTGGGTTTTGATAACCTTAAACATTGCCAAAAATGATCATTAAAATGCTTTAAAAATGCCCTAAAAACAAAGAAAAATGACATACATTTTTTTATCAAAACTACTTCAGAAGAACAACTCAATGATATATCAATGTGTAGATATGTTACTGATGTAATCAAGGCGTCTTCCTTTTGTTCAAATGAACTTGGCTTGCAAACTTTGGGTTTGTACTGTTCTTTAAAAGAAAATCTCTGCCTTAATTTATTGTGAAATCAGCCGAACTGTCAATGATGCTGATAAGCGTTTACAAGAACCTTAGATCACATAATTCTCGCAAAAGCTGACGTTACAATACATGAGCGAAGAAAATGAAAAGGCTGCTCAGTAATTCTGTGGGGAACATTTGTTATCTCATCTAAATATTATTTGATGCAAGTGCCATTAAAATTATATTAAAATCAATTAAATCAGCGGAAAATGCACTAAAAAGATGTTAAAAGGTTCAAAACGTTAGTTGAAATTGTTGAAAAATGCATAAAAATGACATGAAAATTGGTAATTTAGTTATCATTACATAAAATGAATTTCTCTACTTAATGGCATTGTTCCAAAGTGGGGGAGTAAAAAATAGAGATTTTATTAAAATCTGACCTATACTTACAACAAAGATAGACCTGGTAGGTAGGCATTTGCCCCTGATAGGTAGGCAACCCATCATGCACCAATGTTTGCCCAACACACATTGTTGGAGTCGGATTTCAGGTTCCTGCCAAAATTATGGCACTGGAAAACAGATTGATATTTCCTATTTCAAAATAAACTGTATAGTAATTTATTGTCTTGTTTGCTTCTTTAATTGTTCAGAGAAATATATATGTATTTTGTTTTTAAATACGCTTCCATTTGAAATTACATTTACAATTATTATTATTTTGGGGTTGGTAGATAAAAATAATGAAGTAAATAAAAATGTACAGTAACATAATGGTGTTGAGTATAAACTATCTTGCAATTAATGGAGAGATGATGAGAATATAAGATGGATTTCTTTTCCAGCTTAAAGAATTTGACCGAGAAATGGAAGCTTTTACTGGTCGACTTTTTGAATTTGCCATTGCGTTTCCACCTAGTTACCCATTTGAAGAGGAAGAAAAGGGAGGAAATAATTATATGAAAACACGCTGCCCTGCTTGGTGTGACAGAGTCATTCTAAGCAACACTGCCAAAACTCTAGTCAATAATGTGAGTTTTGTTTAATCTTTTATTATTCAATAATTTGATTAAAACGTAGTGGTTCAAAATGTGTGGATCACACTCCTCTTGTAAATGGATTTTTCTTTAAAAAAGAAAAGTTAGCCATACCTTTTTAACTTTGATTAACTTTTATTCATTGGATAACCACTTCTCTTGAACTTTTCAGAGCTTGATGTTAATGTCCAATGCTTTTTATGACCAGTGAATTTTGAATCTCAATTAATACTCCTCATTCTGACCAATATTTTTGATTTTGAACTTCTTAAACTATAAAGTATCCACCATTTTATAACTGCATCACAAAGGAAAATATTAATATTTATATAATCTTGATTATCTACATAAAATATAATGTATCAAATACCTGAATTTTTCATAACATAAGGATTGTCTTACCCAACCAATGCTGGTGGTGTGATTGATAAAAACATTGATCATGGGGCCTATGCTCGTAAGTTCAAATTTGAGTCCAGGCAAATATTCTTGGGGATTGAAATCACTGTGGCTGGTTCAACTTAAATAATTATATAATGTAAACATTACAATTAATAAGAGAAAGTGTGTTATTGTAGCTTCACTGATTTGCTTTGTATTGAATCCCATAAACTTTCTTGGGTATTTTGCTGTCAAATACTTCAGTAATGATTTTTTCAGAGATAACTTTTAATTTAGGAAAGCTAACAATGTAAGCCCTGACACCATGTTCAGGGCTCTATGCTTTATGAGAAAGAAAACAATACACTTGAAATCCACAATGTATAAAACTATTTTTTGTGTCAACCTTTTTTACTGTTTAAAGAAAGTTTTGAAATTCTGTGAACTGGGGTCAGAAAAATGATGGTCCCAATCTGCATAATCTGGAGCCCTTATCTGTTGGCACAATACCATTTAGATATTAATTTTCTTTTGTCACATTGCAAAGTAATGATATAGTCCATGTTGAAAGCGATAATGATGCCTGATACTGATGCAATGCCAGATCAGGGGGTGGCATGACCTCCCCTCCCCAAGACCTAGTTTTCATAAGCTTCCTTCCTTTGACAAAATTGATGTCCAATACCAATGTAATTATTGTAATCAATGTAACCAATTGAATACCAATGTATTTATTTATGTTAAAATTGTTTAAATATTTAAAATATAATATTGTATAGTATCTTATATACAATACAAAAATATTATACAATATAACAGATATGTTTATTATTTAACAAAAGTCTACAATGACCTCTTAAAAATTGATCAACTGAATCCACCCCTGGTGATATGGAAGTTTATCCACGATTCTTGCACAATTCACAATGTTAGAGATGGAGCATTAATTTGCACTAAAAGTAGACAAGTTCATTCTGGGTAAGCAAGGGGGGGGGGAGGAAATTCTGGGTAATTAAGTAATACAAAAATTTCTCAGTGTGTACACATGCTATCTCTCTCACAGGAATGCTACACATGTGGAAGTGTTTTAGTTTGAACATAGACCACAGTGGCAAAACTTTCTCTCACATTTAATAAAACCTTCGAAGAGTTGTGGCGAGCAGCCTGTGCGTGGTGATGCCTATCTACTCTAGTTCTTGTTGTAAAGTACAGTGTATATTGAAAAGAAAAAAAGAAAAAGAAAATTATATTTATATAGAGTAAATGAGAGAGTATGTATTTATTGTTGTTTGCAGGTTAATACATTATTTTACCAATTTCAACAGGCTTCTGACCCAGATAGTGTGGAGTATGGACTGATGGGACCCAACACACGAATGGGAGACCACAAGGTAAATTTTTGTTGTTGTATTAATTGTGATGTACCATTTGTCTTGAAGAAAAAATAATGCATTATCTTTCTGTAATTTCTCACTTTTTTGTGAATGGTATTTGTTAATTAGCAGAAAGAGCACAAGTAGTTGGTATGTGAGGCAATGTTTCTACTTTCTCTGTACTTTTTAGTGTAATCCTACCAATGTTTCTACCTTTTATTCTTTCTGTACTGTGTGACATCTTTCTTGGAATGGTGCAATAATTACATAATTCTATCCATTGTGTGTTAAATGGAATAACATCACTGATAGTTAAATAAAAAAAACTCTAACTTGTTTCTTTACTTTGATGTTTTTTCTTTCTACTGAAACATGCAGCCTGTATACCTGGCATTTCAAATGGTTTATGGAACAAGGTACTTCTACATTCCACATTTAATCCAGCTTTTCAACTCCTCATAACTCCAAAATTACTTTTAGGGGAGGCTAGTACAATCACTAGAGTACTGATAAAAATTGTTCATTCTGTTATATTCATGTAGAAATTGCTTTGTAGTTTATTTAAGGAAATGTCTGCCTATGTCCAGTAATTGTCATAATTACTTTCAACTTTGAGTTTCTTCTCAATTTGAAATAGGATTTACTTTAAATTTCAGAAATTTAATTTGAGTTAGTTACAAGTTTGAAAATTGTTGTTTATCAATCTCTATAGAGAATGTTCTTATGTGGTTGTTGATAGAAGCATCTTACTATATTTAGTTTATCCAACATTTCAAAATGCAAATTGACAAAGAGCAATTAATGATGCAGAGTACTGAAGGAAAGCTGATTTTCTGAAAGCAGTTGCAGAAACTGTAATAGTATTTTTTCATGCACCACTTAACTTCTTAAATGGCTCATTGATTTTGTTCATAAAGTATATTTTCTTTTCTTTCTTTAATCCAGAAAGTCCCAAATAATTATTATTATTATTATTTATTTATTTATTTTCATAAATATTATTTGAGGAGCATTGAAAAAACAAAAATAACATTTTTAAGTACTTTTCAAAATATAATTTTTCAGTTATGATAATATTTGGTCTCTAAATAGGATGCTGGGCCATAAAACAATTACAAATTTACAAAGGATAGTGAAATTAAATTCTTTTTCACAAACAAAACAAAATACACTATGAATTCGATACTGAATTTTAGCCCTGTAATTTTATATGCAAGGGAAAAAGACATGAAACACAAAGTTATTGTATATTTCTAGCAGAATGTCTGCTGTTTGATTGTGCAAGTAGTCCCTGTGCACTGCCTTTTGTGGACTCTTTAATCCATTTCTTCCCATGCATTAATATGCTCCCCAAAGATATCAAAAGTAGTTTCCTACAAAAATTTTGATATTTCAGGGAAGCTGGACAGGAAGTTGCTAATAAACAATGTAGGGGATTTTCCGGAAAGAAAGTGTGCAGTCCGCTTTTTACAGAAATATTTGTATTTTCTCAACTAACTTCCACTAATTTTACTGGTAGGCAAACAGAATACAAATTTATGAATGAATATGTAGGAAGCAAATACAATTTAAATGTATTTGACAGTATGTTTAAAAATTGAGAGACTTACTAACTACATGCATTATCCCCACTTATGAGGTGGGACATCCAGTAAGTAAGAATACAAGTACTGTGTAGAACACTGGGGAATATTTTTCTCAAACTTGGCACACATACCATATAGAAGGCTTCTTAATGGTCATAACGAGACAAAGAACATGTCAGTTCGTTACAAAGTGCCGTCCCATTAGCTTATCATGTCTTCCAGTTGGCCACCGGTTTGATCCACGTACTTCAGCTGTGATAAATGGTGTAATTTTTTCCTCACATTGCACAATGAATCAGCAGCAAGTATCCATCGCCAGCCTGCGGTAACACACGGATCCGAGGTAACGAATCATCAGAATGGTAGCAAATGAATAACTTTGGTTGAGTAACACCATACTAAATACTATCAGGGCATCAGCCTTTTGGGACTGAAATGGGATCTCTTTGGTTGATTTTATACCCAAAGGGACCACCATCAATGCTACTGTATATTGTAAAACCCTAAAGAAATTGAAATAAAAAATCAAAGACAAAAGAAGAGGAGTCCTGACAAGGCCAGGACGCCCGGATTACACAGGACCTGCTTGCGTCGTTTGGATTGGACATCCTAATCCCTGGGTGTAGCACACTCGAATTACCATCTTTTCCACCAAACTGAAGGACTTTTTCGGTGAACAGCGATTTTCAAATGACGATGAGGTCACGGAGACGCTTAAGGAGTGGAGCGTAAGATATACCACGAAGGTATACAAAAGTTGGTGCCCATGTTTCAAAAGTGCATCGACCTCAACGGTGATTATATGGAGAAAGGAAAAGATATTTAAGCTATACTCTAAATTTCATTAAAATATATTCATTTTTTGACTTTTAACAAGTGTTATATTCTTACTTTCTGGATGTCATTCTTATAAAGTTAATGTGGATCTTTTGCCACTATCTCAAACACTTGCTTTAGTGCCCAAATTGCAATTTTAGTTTCCAGAATCCATATTTTCGTTAGTAGTGCCTCCTGCTTCCCCGAAACAGAGTCCTACTTTGGAATCGAAATCAGTCTGGCTTGAAGTATCTGTTGCTGAAATGTAAATATTCAATGCGAATCAGGCAAAATTAAAATCTCATTATGTTACTCCACCATGTAATCATACATAACTTTAGTTTTGAAACTATATTTTTACTTTCTTGTATACATACGTATATAATATATGTAGTAGATGAGAAAGTCATGTAAGGAAAAAGTGTTTTTTGGTGTTTCTTTTCCTTCTTTTTTCTTTCTTTAAAAACTCCATGTGTCATCTGTGAATCAACACTAGTGCCTAGGATGTTTTCCAAACTGAACAATCCCCTGTCAATCTGACCTCACTTGTGAGTTTTGTGGTCAATATTTTGAAGTCCTTTTTTTCTCAGTTGCCACATTTCCATTTGCAAAGAAATCCATTTTATGGTAAATGATAAAACAGTATGATATGTGTAGAAGTTTGCTAAAGAACTGTAAGTCTTCCTGATTTTCTGTACCTCCTGCCTTATAAAGTGAATCTTTTAATTAATTCACAAACATCCTTGTCAATCGGTTTGTGGCGTCAGAATGTGCTTACCATTTAACAAGATTCATTTTATAAGTCAGGAGATGTAAGAATGTCCTAATGTCTTTGGCCATTTGAAGAAAATGGAAATATAACAATTCTTGTCAAATTACAAATTTAATCCGTCATCCAAAGACAAACATTCGTGCCTTCTTTGATACTCTACCATACGCATAAAATGGTTTCAAAAATCATTTTATGTCTCTCTGATGTACACCAACACTTGAAACCAAATCTCATAGGGCTCACTTATAGCCAAGTGTCATCCCAAGTATGGAGCTATCTATCCAACAGCTGTAAACTAGCTGAATTGCAAACATTTTTTGTTCACTTCATCAAAGATTGGGCTCAATTTTACAAATTTGTTTTCTTTATCTAAAGTGTTTATGACCCAAATGTGTAAGTATCTTTTTATTTCTTCAAACTTGTTTCCAGGCTTGCTTTCTTGCACAGACAGAATCTTGCATCTTCAGAAGTACGCACAAACTATTTCATGTAGGATGCCACGAAAACTAATGAGATTATGCACTTAGTCAACAGACCTGTCGAAAGATTGCACCTTCTTCATAATATTACATCTTGTTTGAAATACTAAACCCAGTGGCTTAACTTTCGGGCCTGGAAAGCGGGCGGGCCCAGGTAAAAGAGGGTCTATGTTTAGGTTGAAGATTTTGCAATTGTAAGAAATATTAATTACTTGATACTTTGCGATAGTTGATACAATGAAAAATTAAAAACAGCATCTTCCAGAAGAACATTTTTTTCCAGTTTCGGTAGCTTATGTAACCCTGTTTCTAAATCAGTAAAGGTAAGCAATTCATTTAGGTATTGTAGCAGTCTTAATTTCATAAAATTAAATAATAAAAGCAGATTTTTCCACTATTGGTTATAAGCACTTTTCTGTTTTTAACAAATAAACATCGCACACAAACTGTTTCAATTCGTGTTGTTGTTTAGGTTTGAAGCTTGCCATTGATAACGCTCAAATGAGAGCATTGCCAACCACTCTTTTCAATAAACAGCAGTTAGAATTATTGGGTTGATAGCATTGTTTTGACTTATATTGCTGCTTAGTTTTATGCTTCAGTTAATGAGACTTGAGTGAGATTATGCGTTGCTGAAGTATTGTGTGTGTATTTAAAGAAAATATTGTGGATATTTTTTTTTAAAGAAGGGGCCCCTTATTTCTTTTTAAAATCCACAATATTAATTTTGTAAAGGGGTATAAGTTTTGCAGGGTGGGCTCGCATACATTTCGTTACGCTTCTGAATAATCCCTATGAACTGTTCATCATGGCGTCGTTTATGAATTTAACCATTCCCAAATTTGCTGGGAAACTCCAAAGTTTCGAAAACAGAACACAATATTTATTTGCGTATAGAAGATGTTTTGAAAATCATATACTACTAAAACATTAATAGTGTTGTTTGTATGTATTATAGTATTCTGCAAGAAGTCATATAGGTCAACAATTTCAAGATCAAGAGACTAGAGTTTGTAGATGTGTCACGATAGGGAGCGTGCATTAATGGAGGAAAAATTAAAACTTTGTATTCATATATTCCCATTTCTGTCAGTCAGAAAGTGTTATGGAAGTGGTATAGGAATCTTCTATAAACATTTTTCAGATATTCAAGCCACTTTGCCATTTTGTTTTGTTTAATATTGCTTTATATATAATATACTTAGTGTAATAAAGTAAAATAGAAGAACATAATATTGTTATTTAAAATCTTGTGTTTAAGAAATGGCATGCTCTATGCATTCTTGGTTTTTAGAATTTTTTCTTCTCCTTGTTCTCCGAGTTCCAGGCAAAGTACTAAGAATTTCAGTGGTAACTTGTAACTCAGAAGTATCTGTTATGTAACAAATTAAAAAATTAGAGAAAATAATAATTTTGCTGACAATTTTTTTTCATAATCTTGTCTTTATTTTAGAAATTTGTTAGCGTCAAGATAAGATCATTTTTAGTTTTTTGCTGTTTTTAATAATAGTGTATTAAAGGCTTTTTATGGCTGATAAGAAAATTACATTATTAGTTATCAATAAAATTCAGTTTTAATCAGTACTTAGAGGTTTGTGTTTGCTATGCCTACCCTCAATTGAAAATTAAAATTGCTATTTGACCCTTACCTGCTCATAGAATGCTGGTTATTCCTAATACCTTGTTTGTATTTGAACACTTTGTTCCTCACATTGTATGTTCTTAGATAATAAACCTTTCAGGAGCATTTTTTACATTGTGTCCCTGTTTTCTTATTTTAATGTGGAATTCAATTCCCAAAATGTAGATACCAATAGAATATTCTATAGTATATTTTTTTAAACTTAAAGTGTTTTATTAATACTGTTGCATCTTCCAGAATATTTACTCTGTTTTGTAACATTTTTTATGAACATGATTAATTTCTGAATTAAAAAATTCTTCTAATTTAATTACAAATGTCATAGAAACATTTATTTATGATATGAAGCATGTAGGACTGAAAAGTTTGGAAATAATATGCAGTTTTTAAAGATTAATATTTTGGTAGTATTACTTCAAATAATTTGAATGCTTTACTACATAATATAAAACAAGAAATTCAGTCATAGGAGGCAATGTGTTCTGTTGCAGCCAGTCTACTTAAAGATGGATCTAATCAATGATGCAGGTACAGTTTCATGTTGCACGTCATGTGACACGTCGTCTAGTGACGAGCGTGTGCTGTGCTTTGGAAATGTGGCAGTGTGTGAACCAGCTTCCTGGTCTTGCAGTAGTTTGAGCTTGAAGCAAGGTGGATCTGCACCCTCTACAGCACTAACTTTGAAATTGGACACTTCTGCTGCAGCCCTCACGGCTGATTGCTTTTTAGCACCTCCTCATGCATCCTTACTGCATGAACCCTACACCCCAGAAAGCATGGAAACCCCCTCCTCTTCTCCTATACCTGTAAGAATTCAGAGAGATTTTGGAGAAGTGGAAGGTGTTCAGTGGAAATGTGCTGATGATGAAGAAGTATCTGAATGTGATGTTATAAAAAATCTTCACACTGACTTATCAAAAAGAATTAGTGATAGTAATATTCTCACAAGTAATAGTCTTAGAGAAGAATCTTCAGTCATTCAAGACATGTCATTTTGCAAACAAATTATTTCAGTGTGTGATTATGATTTGACATCAAAAGAATCAAATAAAAAATCTGGAACTGATACAACTGGTCAGTGTGAGACTTCTCATCAGGGTGTTCCTCATGTATTTGTTTGTTACTCAGATACACAAGTTCAAAAATTACAAGACACAAATTCCTTAGATCAAACCAGTGATTCTCAGGTGACAAAAAACAATGTGCTGGAAAACATTAAAATCATTCCCAAAGAAAATAGTTTTGTAAAACGATTTCAAATAGAACATGAAATGGAAAATGAAATTACATACAAATCATGTGATATGATTGCCCAAGAAAATAGAAATGAACTTTCTTCTTTAACATCTTCAGAGAGTAGAATTAAGGAAAAAGATTCAGTTTTCCAACAAAATTTATTATCATCTCTTTTATTGAAAACTTTTTCATCAGACTCTGGTATACAGCCAACTACATCAAGTACTTCTTCCATACCATCTTTGAGTTCTCAGAGTTTGAAGAAAGAATGTATTGACATGGATATAGTGTGTCCTAAAATTTTAGAAAAAAAAGTTTCTGATGTACTTCCAGTAAACGAATTCGTTGCAAATATTTCAAGTGGACTTATTGTAAGTGACCCTAAAGAAAAGGAAGATACTTCTGAAAGTATTTCTGTAGCAAATCATATAAATTTGTATCGGAGTTTAAACGCTTGTGGCAATGAGAGCAAATGGGTTTTAGAGGACACAAAAAATTATACTTTTAGTAAACAAAATGTACGTAGTGTGCCTGTTAGTACAAATAATTGTTCTGAAATTGATGAAAATAAAGGTTTTTTTACTGAACCAGGAATAATGAACGAATTATCTGAGAGAGAGAAAAATGTCCATTTGTCAGTCTGTCCTGAGACTGTCAATGATATTAATGTGAACTGTCATGTTGATGAAAAGTTAAATTTTCCTGTTAATTCACAAGACTGTATTAATATTAGTACCGATGTTTCTAGTCAACTTAGAAGTACTAAAGAACAAAGGCCAAAATGCACTAAGAATCACAAATTGAGAACTAATTCTAAAAATTGTTGTTCCAGTTGTTGTACTATAATTTAGAAAAGGTTTATTTTATTTACTATAAAGTACAGAGTCTTTTTCATAAAAAAAAAAATTGGGGAATTAGGGACTTATTGGAAATCCCTGTCCTTCTTACATTATTTAATAAGTAGCTATTAAAAGGACATTAGTTGGCATCTCTTTTTTTTTTCCTCAAAATTATTATTTTACTCAGACATGAAGATCTGTCCAGTAGTCAGATTACTGTGTGAGAGAAATAGTATTGCAATATTGTTTAATACAATGTATTGTTTTATTAAAGTAGTTCATTAGTGTTTGACTAGAGTGCCTAGGAATTTTGGGCATTACTGTTGACTAATTCTTTGGTGAAAGTGAATGTAGTTAACTTTGTAGGTGGTGTAATGTACTTTCAGAATTGTTTTTTGGGGTACTGTAGCTTTCCTATCGAGTATTTAAATTCAATTCAATTTTGGTATTAACATTATATGTAGAATGCTAGAATTTGAATGTACTAATGGTACCTGAATACCTGATATTTGCACCACTGTGCAGATTTCAGAAGTTTCCACTGATGCTCTTTGCCTTTCATTTATCTCAGGAATGTAGTGATTTGTTCAATAAATGTGATGTAAAGGATAATGTGTGTTAGTAGAAGAAAAATATTGTTATAGAATGTTTTAAAGTTCAGATCTTTCCACACTGTGAATTAATATCTTATTTTATTTTCAATAATTTATTATATCTTAGAGAATTAATGTGCCATGTGTTGAGTTACCTTTTGATGTTCCAGCTAGTACTTACAAAAGCACGAGGAATTGAAAATCCTTATCTTACATGAAAAACAGTACTCCACACTGTTTCACACTGAAGACCAACTTGTGCATGTTTTTGGATCTCTTGTATGTCTTAATATGATGCAATTGTTGTTAAGTGAAGTATTTAGGCAGTGAATTAGTTACTAATAGTTATTTATTTTTATTTCCTCTTCATTAATTATGAAATACCATTTTAATTTCATGCAAAACATGTGGCTTTTATTGTGTGCCTGAAGTCAACATGATGCATGGAAATTAAATTTTTAGTATTTTTCTTTTATATGTGTATATGAAATTGAAAACTCAGGATTTACTGTAAAGCCGTTTGTTTATGCCTCATGAATTTTGTGATAAAAAATTGCTCATTTGCTCTTTGATGTTGATTGGCAACTTCTGTTATGTAACAATGCTGTTTTGCTAGTTGTTGTTGGTGTTTTTTTTTGTGCCAATTGTTTTGTAGTATGGAGTGCAAATTATGTGTTTGCACAAAACCTCATTGCTCCTAATGGAAAAAGATGCTCCCAAAAGTTAATAAATGTTTATGGCTACATACGTTTTTTTTTAATTTGAGTTCTTGTGTGCTTATTTATTTATTTGCTGAAACCTATACCAAACATTCCCATTAAGTGCTTTTCTTATAATTTGAGTTTATTGTATTGCAGTGGTGTTTTGAAAAGTTTATTTATTTACAAATGTGCTCGTAATGAAAAGAATGAACTATTGTTGTTGTTGTTGTTAATAATTGGAAAAAAGAGAAAGGAACTGGTGTGTTCTTGTGAACATATGCATGAATGCACGTTTTTTATGCAAATGCATTATTGGAATATGAGATATTGGATTTGAAACATTCTTATAGTTTCTTATATTTATACATAATTTTCATGGATAATGCATTTTGCTTGTCTAAAATATCATAAAATCTCTTAGAACTTTTTTATTTTAGAGTTGCTAACAAATTTGTACAAAAAAGTTGTCATTTTCTTATCCTTCCCCTCTATGTACAATTATATAACAAAATTTGTTTACCCCTCAAGTGTACACACATCATGAACACTTGCTCCTCTTTTGAGATTTTTTATGTGCATTCTACAAAATCTCTTCAAATAAGACACCCTACACTTGGCCACTTTCAAAATTCTCAGTTATTTCTCAGTAACTTCCGAAATGTTCTCTAAAATGGCTTGAAATTTTTCTTTACATTTTTTACTCAGAGAAAAGTACACAGGTCCAATTTTCATTAAAACTTCTGAAATGTAGAATTTAAAATTATTTGGACCTCCTCCTACAACTACATCATATTTATTTATTTCTTAATGAAGTCTATTCTTCATTATTAGATGTTTAACCTGTTTTGTCCGGTGTTCCAGAAGTGGAACAAACATGGACCTGTCATTTCATTGGGAGTCAACTCTGATTATATTGAACTCGAATATAGTGAAATCTCTGTTATTGTGAACATAAATCACTGGTCCTGTTTCACATACATTACAAATAAGTATAAGAATATTTGGTTATAGTGAAACTGAACCTCGGCTATAGTGAACATAGGAAATACTATGTCATGGAAATTAATTCCTTCCTGAAAAAGAATATGTTGCCTCAGTGCCACAAATTCCAATACTAGCCAGTTTAAAAAAATATCATTGGCTAAACGTCGTAATCGAAGAAAACACCCCTGAGGTGAAGGTAGCTGACCCAAAATAAGGAACTTAATGATGATTTCAGTTTCACTGCGGAAATAAAGACTGTGTCCTGCATGGGCTGTAACTTGGGGCGGCGATATGAAATTACTTGCTTCAGTTTCAATCTTGGTGTTACTTAATATTCCATCGGTCTAAGCGCATTGAGTTCTATGTAGGGGATAGGAAGCACGTGACTTCCACATCTTGGCGATATCTGCCCTGAAGCGCGGAAAAGTGATCAATTTCATTAGCTGCTTAGGTCATCCCCCAACCGAAAGCGTCTTGTATGTTATTGGGTGAGTTAAATGGTCTTCAGAGAGTGGAATGGTGTTCCAACACTGCAAGAGGCACTGTCAAGACTGGATTTCGATACTTAGACAGAGAGGGTAATACTGAATCAAGTATGGAGAGAGCACAAACTTTGGAAAAGAATATAGAGAAATGAAAAAGTAAGAAGCAAACAATTGCAAATATTTGATTTGTTAAGGACAAATAAAGATATTGAAATTTTCAGTTTGTGCTGTTTCTGTTTTTTGCTGTATCTATATATTTGTAAAATCAATTGTTTTGGAGAAATTCTATTTAGTTTTGACATCATCGGAAATAGTGAACTAAAAATGTTAGACCCCAGTTCACGATAACTAGAGTGCACTGTAATTATTATTTTCCTAAACAATGGCATGTTAAATATTGATGATTATATGTCCTTATATTTGAGAAACTAGTTAAATTATAAATGTTTCATTTGTGGAACACTGGTAATGAATAGTACCATCCTTTCACTTGGTGGTACATTTCTTTTAAAGCCTAACTGCCAGGGAAATTTTACTTCTTGAAGATGATGTTGATTTTTTAATTTTTTTTATTAGTGAAGATGGTGCTAAAAGTCAAGAAGATAGAACAGACAATGATGAGGGTGGAACAGCAAACGATCTCTTAGCGTGTCAACTTCTGATAGAAGGAGAAGCTATGATTTTTTGTTTCAGCGAAGTTGCAAGAGTAGGAGATGCAGGGGAAATTATTGAGATATCAATGAAGAAATGTCTTTCAGAGAGCAAACCATTCAAAATCTATGGAGGCAGATTGTTCTCATTTCAGCCTTTAGCTTGCAAGTTAGCAGAACTGGAACATAGGTCTGTAACGAAGAATCACATTGAAAAGTCTCCACTGAATGACCCAAAAATTCTGGAAAAGAGAGAAAGGAATAGTTATGGTTACAAAACAGATGTTGGCAATTACATAATGATCTTGTGTAATGTGGAATGATAATCATGTTTGTCATATGACTACATGCGACCCTGTTGAGTCAATTGGAATTGCCTACAGATGGATGAGCTGGGAAAAGAAGACACTTTCAGTCCTATAGTCCAATACTGTAGCTGAGTACAATAAGTTTGTGGGTGGTGTGAATCACTTGGCCAAAAATAATAAATCTTATAGAATTTCGATGAAGTTTAAAATGTGACGGTGGCCCATTTTCATGTTCTGTATCAATTCTTCTGTTCAAAATGTGTGGCTGCTTTATTGATAAAGAAATAAAAATGTGGATCATGTAGCATTTAGAAGGCAAATAGTGCAAATATTTGCAACTCAGTTCTTCATCACCTGGTGGTAGACCGAATACAAGCAAATCACTGTTATGATGCAATACTAGACTAAGATTTGATGAAACTTGACATTGGATTGTACCTACAACCAAACAGTGAGATTCATGTTATGTAAGCAAAAGACAAAGAAATCATGTGAGAAATGCAAAATAAATTTGCATGAAAATGTTTCAAATTTATCACACGCGTAATAAAAACATCTCTCTTTACACCCGAGGATTCTGAAATTCACATTTATCAATATATTTATTTATAATTTGAAACTATGAAAATGTATTTGCTTTTTGTTTTATTTTCTTTCTTTCTATTGGTATTGGTGCTCGCAGGTAATGTACTGGCTCCTTTGCCAGTGGTCACATACAGTACACAGTGGTACCCCATTAAGTCAAGTAGGACAATAAGAAAATACCTACTTCTTTGAATATACAAATAAAAACTTTACAAAAATATATTTAATTTAACAATTTATTCTAATACAAAGTTTAGACAGTGAGGAAAATTAATTTTGAAAGAATAGTGACCTGACCTCATTGGATTTCTGACTGCAGCAATATTTTCTTCACTCTTGAAATATGCACAACTGCTTCATCCATGATGAGAGGAAACGTGTAATGTTTTGTAAAGAAAGTTAATAAGGTACTTATTTTCTAAGACATAATCTGCCCTGTATCAAACAATTAAGACCGTTTCCTTTCTTTAAACTCCTCCCGAACCCATAATTAAACAATTATACTTTGGTGTTCATCAAAAGTCTTCTTCATCATGTTCTGATTCACTACTAGATATGATATCAGACAGGTTGCCATATTCAGATTCATCAGTTGTCAATGTTCTCATCTTCAGATGTTTCCTAGTCTTTCAGAAGATTTTTAGAGTTCTTGAACTTTTAAATTTTCTTCCTCATTGCATTTTCTTTGTAAATTTTCTTTTTCAGAAGACCTAGTTATGATTGGATTTCCTTTTGTGAGTAGGCTTCCATTGCAATTTTCTTGCAGAAGGTTTTGGATTCCTGTGAAGTGCTTCAGAATTGGCAGTTCTGGAAGCTGAATAATTCTCATCCAATGGGTTTGAATGTTATGTGCTTGGAAAGACGAGTGGAATCACTGTAAATGTGTTCTCAGTCACAGTCTGAGAAGTTCCATTTACTGTTGGGAGTGGCACGTCTTCTGTGGTAGTTACTGCTATGCAATAAAATCCACATCAGTAAGTATGTTTTCATTGAAGGGATAAATCCTCGTTCTAGCAAATCGAAATTTGATATTTTTCTGTGTAAATGCGTTCTCAAAGGTAATGTCTAGTTCAGCAATGTTGTAAATTGTTATAGGATGATTCAGTAACCATATCACAAGCAGCATCGTAAGCTGCTTTGAACGAAGAGAATACACACATTTGTCTAATAGCAGCATGTGATTACTACAGTGAGGTGGTACATATTTGTAACCCCTGATGCACGAGCCATTGTCACTACTTTGGTAGAAATGTGAGCTGCCAGATTATCAAATATAAGGTGCTGTGTGAATGATTAGTGAAATAGTATATTACTTAAGGGATCAGTTCTGTTTTCATCTAATCCGAAGGGGTGGCGAAACCCATTTTCCCAGCTTGGGCTTCTGTTAACCAGTGGCGAAGCTAAACCATTTGGGAACCTTAGAATGCCCAAGTTATTTTTCAACAAAATCTGTCGTTATGTATGCCATTTTTAATATTTTTTTACTGAACTTTAAAAGAAAATAAGTGTTTTCGACTCCCCCACTTACGCGCAAGATAATCAGCAGGGCAAATAGTTGAGCGGGGAGCCTGCCTATGGGTAGATACCGGCTGGCTTTGCCGCGTATGCGCGCTAATCGCACTGGGCATGGAGTCTAGGCTCCCAGCATGCCAAACTTATACCGCGATATAAGTTCAAATCCCGGCCAGGCAAATTCACATCACATAACGTGGGAAAGTAGAGTGAGTTGTTTGTGTGATTTTTGTTCGTGTTTTCTTTATGAAACAATTTATGAAGCTACAGATTTAGTGATATAGAGAATGTCCCACTGACTGGGCCACTCTCATAACTTCCAAAAGGTTCACGATATCGAAGTGCAATTTTCGCTCAACAACGCGGAATCATGAGGCAAGTGATATGACGTAGAGATAGTAGTAAAATTCCATTCCATAGATATGAAGAGACTATTGAAATCTACTTTAAAACAGACATGACCGTGAATGAACTTACAAGATCGGAATAATTTTAAAGACACAAAACTGAGGCTCTTAAAAT